AGAACTTATAAAAGTTCCTAGTGTGTTCAGTTTGTTCATAGGTATATATATTTAAAAAACAGACCCGTAGCCAAATATGTTTGACAAAAGCTGATTTTTAAAAGTGAAGGTTTTTTTTATGACCCTATTTTCAGTCTTTGGTAAGCTAATATACATTATAAAACACCCAAGGAGGGTTATGTCATGCACTGTTTCCTAACGTTTCTTGTCAATAAAACTTTTATAAAAGAGCATCTTGATAGCACCAGTGAGGAATTTACCAGGGAATGGCACACAAGTGCTTGAAATGACTCAGCCTCTTGCCATCTGGCCCAAGACACCATCACTTTTTTTTTTTTTTTTAAGACTGGGTCTTGCTCTGTTGCCCAGACTAGAGTGCAGTGGTGTCATCACAGCTCACTGCAGTCTCCAACACCTAGGCTCAAGGGATCCTTCTACCTCAGCCTCCTGAGTAGCTGGGACTACAGGCGTGCACCACCACACCTGGCTAATTTTTCTATTTTTTGTACAGATGGGGTCTTGCTATTGTCCAGGCTGTATCACTTTTTTGAAATTGCTTTTTCTTACCAACAACCTCTTAGTCACCTAATCAGTGGCCTTTTCCCAGTGCTTATCCTTACCAACTTCAGTGACACTATTGATCCCTCCATGAAAATGGCTTTGAGGAGGAGGAGGATGGTGTGGTTAAGACCTGGGAATCTGTCTTGCTGCTCTTAGAGCCCTCGAGCCATCATTTAAGAAATTTAACCAGCCTGCCAGAGTCCCCACCCATCCCAACCAAGGCGCCAAATGCCCAGCCCCAGATGAACACAGCTGACTGAGTGACTCCAGCCAATGCCACATGGAGCAAAAGAACCTCCCAGGTGAGCCCAGCTATCTTACAGAATCAAGTATGTCTTTAGAAAGATAAAATGTACAGATTCATCAAAAAGAAAAATAAAACATTGAAATCCCAGGGAAGTGGGGTGAAAACTTAAGTTCTTCAGGAATTGAGCTCCTGGCTCTATTCAAAGAAGTGTGAGAAAGCAGATTATATCTGAGAGAATATCGGTACCAAAGGGAATATGTAGACAGAGCATTTGGGTTACCACAGGAAAAAAGATCTACAGCATCACATGGACATACCCAACACAGTGCAAATCATACTAGAGTGAAGTAAACTCTTCTAAAGAAACCAATGATAAAGACACCATATTCTAAGACTGCACACTGAAGAAATATCAAAGCAAAAACTGAGAACTTGGTAATAAAAGCCTGAAGTAAAATTGGGATCTCAGCACAGACTATTCAATACAAAACAATGTCCGACCCACATGAGGAAGATCCATGCTAGACATTTAGCAGTACTGGCACTGACTAAAAATTCTCTTCTATTCCTTAAGGAAGAAAGGCAGAACACTAATAATCCAGAACCTACTGTACATCCTTTAGTTTGCTTCATGTCACCTTCTTAAAGTCCTGTATTAAAAAAAAACCCCTAGTTCTTATAAATATCTGTATTGGTAGATGAGAACAGATTTTGGGCTAAGATTCTGATATCCAAAATTACTTGAACAATTCAACTAAAAAGACAATAAGCAATTTAAGTTCAATTTCAGAATTCAAAGAAAGGCAATTAGTGAGTGTCATTTTTCACCTATCAAAATGGCAAGATGTTTTAAAAAGAAAAGATAAAATCAGCAAGTTCAGGGAAATTGCTAATAAGCGAATGTGTGCAACTGTTCCAGAGGGTTACGTGAAACACGTATTCAAAGCCTTCAACATGCTGATAGCTCACTTCTCTGTGTTTTTCTAAAGTAAATAATTTAGGGATCAAATGTTTTAGGTATTTAGGACATTTACTACAACATTGTTTATAATAGCAGAAAAAATTCTAGAAAGTTTCAGTATACAGCAATAAATGGTTAAATATATAATGTATTAATATAATCTATACAATAGCATGCAGTAGGTCTCTCAGCTGAACTCCACATAACACATTGACAAAACTCCCCAGGGCCCATCCCTTCCCATAGCTACCTAGCCTTGCCAGTCCCCAACATGTCATAGGTAGACAGGAAAAATGCTATATTAAAGGGCCAGCTAAATCTCAGGATGATAATACAGTGTTGAGAGACAAGTTTCAGCATTTCTCGATTCCATGAGTTAAACTGCATAACTCCAAGAGACACTTGGGTTTGTTCCCATGACTATTTATGTCAGAGGTGCTTATTAACTGTGATTTCAATAAACATTACATAAACTAATATAAATTTTTAAAAAGCTTTCCAGCTAATTCTGAGGCAGAGTCAATTTTATGACCACTGATCTAGAACTCACACACTAAAGTTTACTTCCTTCCTAGGAGTACCTTTTTCAGAGATTACTTTTTTCTTCTGTGTAGCCTGCTTTTGGTCTCTTCTGAACTTCAAGTTCCCCTCCCATCAAGAAACTGTCTTGGGCCGGGCGTGGTGGCTCACGCCTGTAATCCTAGCTCTCTGGGAGGCCGAGGCGGGCGGATTGCTCAAGGTCAGGAGTTCAAAACCAGCCTGAGCAAGAGCGAGACCCTGTCTCTACTATAAATAGAAAGAAATTAATTGGCTAACTAATATATATAGAAAAAATTAGCCGGGCATGGTGGCACATGCCTGTAGTCCCAGCTACTCGGGAGGCTGAGGCAGCAGGATTGCTTGAGCCCAGGAGTTTGAAGTTGCTGTGAGCTAGGCTGACACCATGGCACTCACTCTAGCCTGGGCAACAAACCAAGACTCTCTCTCAAAAAGAAATTAAAAAATAAAAATAAATAAATAAAAGGCAAGAATGGGCTAGGCACAATGGCTCATTCCTGTAATCCCAGCACTTTGGAAGGCCAAGATGGGAGGATCACTTGAGTCCAAGATCAGCCTGGACAACATAGTGAGACCCCTATCTCTATAAAAAAAAAAATAAGAAAAATTAGCCAGACATGGTGGTGCATGCCTGTAGTCTCAGGTACCTGGGAGGCCGAGGTGAGAGGATTACTTGGGACCAGAAGTTTGAGGCTGCAGTGAGCTACAATTGCACCACTGTACTCTAGCATGCATAACAGAGCAAGACCCTGTTTCTAAAAATAAATAAATATATAAATAATAAAAAGGCAAGAATGAAACACTGGTCCTTTCCTTTACAAACCAAATTGCCCTACTTGATAAGGAAAAGCTTTTCTTCACAGAACTCCAGGTAATAAATGTAGAAGGAATGAAAGAACTTTAGAATCATTTTATACCCCCTAATGAAAATGATTAAAGTAACAATCAGCAGTGGATGTTAAAAGCATTGGAAAAAGACTGATGAGAAACTAGCTATTTGCAGGTTGACAAAGTACAACCTGTAGATTGTTGCTGATTAGAAAAGGAAAAACTAAACTTCACAATGGAGAGGTTAGGCTGTCACTACTTGAACCCACACATCTATCTTAGCATCACTGTGAATAGGACAACCTGTACCTCCTGATATGATGCAATATGAGATACAATACAAGATATACAGTGTCACCTAAGTAGTACTCTTGCCAAATATGCTCAACCTGAATCTAATACAAGGCTTTAGATCTAATTTCAATTTATAGAAAAATGGGCCAAAAAAAAAAAAAACACCATAAGGAAGCAATTAAAACAAATCCAGGAAGTGGGACACTGTATAGATCCAGTCCTTCAACAACAAGTTGTTAATATGAAACAATAAGGGGTTAGTGAGGACACATAACTATTCTGGATAAAACAGATGTAAGAGGTTACACAACTCTGTGAATATACTAAAAGCCATTATAGTGTACATTTTCAGTGGGTGAATTGTATGGCATGTGAATTATATCTCAATAAAGCTGTTACTGGCCGGGCACCGGGGCTCACGCCTGTAATCCTAGCACTCTGGGAGGCCGAGGTGGGTGGATCGCTCAAGATCAGGAGTTTGAAACCAGCCTGAGCAAGAGTGAGACCCCGCTTCTACTAAAAGTAGAAAAAAATTAATTGTCCAACTAAAAATATATAGAAAAAATTTGCCAGGCATGGTGGCTCATGCCTGTAGTCCCAGCTACTTGGGAGGCTGAGGCAGAAGGATTGCTTGAGCCCAGGAGTTTGAGGTTGCTGTGAGCTAGGCCTGACGCCACGGCACTCACTCTAGCCTGGACAACAAAGCAAGACTCTGTCTCAAAAAAAAAAAAAAAAAAAAAGAAACTGTCTTGGCTGTAGATTAATGAGAATTCCTACCTTTGGCTTCTTGGTGACATTGTGATATTGGGTATGATCTCCCTTGCTATATTCCTTGAAACAAGTACAGTGTACTAGCCAAGAGTACCCTGGACCCACATTGCCTTGTTCTGAATCCCAGCACTACCACTTCTTAGCTGTTGGACCTTGAGCAAGTTACTTAACCTCTCTGTGCTTCAGTTTCCTAAGTGGCTTAACCCTATGAGGGGGTTACACAACCTGCCTCATAGTGCTGATTGGAAGAAATAAATGAGCTAATAGATGCCAAGGGCTGAGGATAGTGACTACCTAGCACATGGCAAGTGTTCTATATGCAGAAGCAACTATTTTATTATTGTTCTTGTTTTTAATCAGATATATCCTACCCAGCCCCTAGCACAGTGTACTAAACAGCTGTCTGGTGAATGAAAGAATGAAAAAATGGTCCTGTTTCCTCACCTAGATCACCTCATGGTATGGTTTCAGATCTAAAGCTTCGCACGAATCTCACGGATGCTGTATCTTTTATTGAATCCCTTCACCGCAAATTTTCATCTACCCTCTGCTAACAACAAAATCTGAAAACAGAGAGGAGTAAAATACAAAGGAAACATGTAAGGTTGATGGGATTTTAGACAACTTAAAGGAACTGGTCAGGTTTAAAGAATGTCATCCAAATGCCTTGACAGGAAACCTTGTATATTGATAGTAGCAATATCTGTAAGAAAAGAATGTGTTTAACTGTGTAAAAAGGCATTCTGCCCTAATGCCTTCAGCAGATGGGATATAACAAGGTAGTTTCACAATTAAAACTGTTTTTAAAATGTATTTATTATTTAATAATTCTTTTTCCCCTCAGCCCCAACCAGCCACATTGTCGTTCTGCTTTTCTGATCACCCCAAAAGCTAAATACATTCTCCTTCTCAATGGAGGATGGGAAGCAAACTAAAATCAATACACTTGATCAGGCCTTCATCAGGCACTACGTCACTGCAGGTGGAATGCTGGTTTTCAATAAGTGAGGTTTTCCTAGGGGTCCTTAAAAGCAGTCCTTTTTCAAGGTCACTGGGAGACTCATGGCGTTGAAATGCCGCTGTCCATCTAAGTACAACATGGACTCTGAAACAGAAGAAACATAACCCTGGAGAAACTTGCAGCACCTTAGAAAATCATTATACAAACACAAAATTACTTGGGAATACTGGGACAGAATGAGGTGCACTGTTGGGCCAGGGCTGTGCAACATTCCCAAGGGAGCAAGCCATGACTCCTGTCCCTTTCCTTTGGCTAGACCAGTTTTGGGCTACCAGTGGCTGCTTGCAGCTGGCACCAACCCTGCAGACAACAGCCACGTAAGCAGAGCAGCAACAGCTGCCTGAGGGCCACAAGGTATCTTTGGCCTTCAGGGCTGTAGAATCTCAAAAGTGAAATCTACTAAAGACATGCTCTTATGCTGACAGGCATCGATGTACTTCCTACAATGATTTAAAAGGAGAAAAAATTCTTTAAAAGGTCTTCCCTTCATTAGGGAAAAGCAATAATCACTGCTCACCTCCATATGTTCTGGGGAAAACCAAGGGCACTTCTTTTTCCGACATGAACGTGAAATGAAAGACATTGGTGGTCGTATGCTCTTTATCCTGAAGAGAGGCCACCTCACTGTGTACTCTGACTTGAATGTAATTGTTCTGAGTAAAGCATACCTAACAGATTATAGACACTATAGTTAGTCAATTGCATTAGAAAGGTGGGAAAGGCAGTTATAAAATAAACAGTGCCTTTAGGATATAGGATACTTCTCTGAGGTACAAATGGCAACAAAATTGTATTTTATCTCTCATCACACACCTACCTGCGAAGAAAGAAAAAGCAATGAGCCAATTTCAACAGGTTTCTCAAACATGATGTCATCAACTGCTACCACAAATGCTCGGGAACCACTATTGGGGAATAACAGAATCAAGGGTAAGTTTCAAAATTCAGATTATCTCAATTTTCCCCCTAACAACCAGCTGAAGCAAAATAAGAATAAACTTTACAAAGAGGGAAATGACCACAGCAGCAAGGAATGGTAAGAGACACCACTATGATCCAACCAGGGCAAAATTCACTGTATCTTTTCCCTACTACATATTACCACTGTATTTTTTTTTTTTTTTGAGACAGAGTCTTACTCTGTTGCCCTGGCTAGAGTGCCGTAGCATCAGCCTAGCTCACAGCAACCTCAAACTCCTGGGCTCAAGCGATCCTTCTGCCTCAGCCTCCCGAGTAGATGGAACTACAGGCATGTGCCACCATGCTCGGCTAATTTTTTTCTATATATTTTAGTTGGCCAATTAATTTCTTTCTATTTTTAGTAGAGATGGGGTCTCCCTCTTGCTCAGGCTGGTTTCAAACTTCGGACCTTAGCAATCTGCCCACCTCGGCCTCCCAGAGTGCTAGGATTACAGGTGTGAGCCACCACGCCCGGCCTCTCAGTAGTTCTTTAATGTGCTAACTTACAAAGTTAGAGCAACAGCCTTCTAAAATGAACACCAAACCCAGCTGATATCAGTGTGGTATTCGTTTAAAAACATAACATATTCCCAAACACATCCAGACTAGCCCAAAATGTTTCATTTCAGTGGGGTGGTATAAATTGCTTCTCAGAAGTTAAGACTGCCTTAAATCTAACTCACCTGAAGCTACAAGCAGTAGCCCATGCAAGTTCATATGCTCTCCTCATAAGGAAACCACCAAAGATCCGATTGAAAACGTTCCGCTCCTACAGGACATAAAATAAATTATGAATAAATATAAACTTATGGCCACCCTCTTATACAGAACAAAGGAATTAACAATGCAACAGAATAAAGGTCGGTTTAAAGGTATAACAAATCTTGCACAAATATCATGAATGCAAGCTATTCTATTCAGAAGATTTCTCACTAAATTACAATACCTGAGGGTGGCAAATTTCCAAGCTCTTCAGTTTTGAATTCTCCATCCACACTGCATTAGGGGGCAAAATTCGACTCTGAAAACTTATAGTCCTGTACAAATGGAGATGTATAAAACCCTGTTAATGCCATGGTTTCACTGCTGAAAAGTAAAACATTTGCTAACAACTCCCAATACACTCGGGCAAGTGTGGCTTTGGAGAAGGCCTAGGCTTAAATGCTTTCCCAACTTGGAATCTTACCATCTTAACTTACTTTGGATCCAGTGTGCTGAGAAACATCTCATGTATAGTGGTCTTCTCCTCAGCGCTAGGAGCCATTTTCAGTAATGATGCAGTGCTGAAGGCAATTCTTTTCCCCTTGTTCACTGGAACATGTGAGAGAGTAAGGAGCAATGATCAGGAGAGACACACTATATAGCACAGGGCATCCTGACCTGGGGTGCCTTGGATCCTACAAAGGCAGTATTTCAAGATTTCGAAATCCCACCAGAAATTTTATAAATATCCAAGAGAAGGCTGCAGAGGCCACATAAAACTTCCAGTGAGTCTTTGCTTTCATAAGAAAATTATATCAATGTAGTGTGAGACTTATCATCCCGATCTAGAATCCTGACTGGCAGTTATCCCATTAAGATGGATTTCGCATTTCATTAAAAATGAGAAAACAAATTACTTCACTTAATAAATATTGTCTAATCAATAAAATTGTTCAAAGTATGGACTCCAAAGAACAAAAATATTTTTTATTTTTGAGACAGAGTCTCACTCTGTTGCCCAAGCTAGAGTGCCATGGCGTCAGTCTAGCTCACAGCAAACTCAAACTCCTGGGCTCAAGTAATCCTTCTGCCTCAGCCTCCCCAGTAGCTGGGACTACAGGCATGCGCCACCATGCCCAGCTAATTTTTTCTATATATTTTTAGTTAGCCAATTAATTTTTTTCTATTTTTAGTAGAGACGGGGTCTCGCTCTTGCTCAGGCTGGTCTCGAACTCCAGACCTTGAGCGATCCTCCCGCCTCGGCCTCCCAGAGTGCTAGGATTACAGGCGTGAACCACTGCGCCCGGCCCAAAAAATATTTTTAATTTCAACAAATTCTTGAAATAAGACATTGACTGGTATGAAGAGTCCATATATGATCTTAAATAATCTCTTGTGAAATATAATTAATGTGCTTTTCAATTTTCTCTTTTTATAAACAAATTAATGTACATTCTCCTTCTTTAAGGAGCTCTTCTTCCTCTGGGCTTTCAGGGATGAGTGGATTTACGAATGCCGGCCTAAAAAGAGAAAAGAAAAGAATACAGTTTAAGTTAAGATGTGCCATTATCTAATAAAACTTGAACGATTACCTGCTATCTTTAAAGTCTTCTTCTGTTCATTTGGGTAATGCTTACTACCTGCCTCCCACATGAACACGGGAACAATTAGAACCTTCTAGTTACAGACTTACCTGTACACTAGAAAGTTCACATTATAAAAAGGATACTGCCGCTTGCCAAAATATTTTACCTGTGTCTAATCAATCATGAGGAAACAGTCAAATACAGATTGTAGAATGTTCTACAACTGGCTTGGACTTTTCAAAAATGTTGATGTCTTCGAAGATAGTAAATGTATGTATTTATAGACTCCTAAGTCAAATTTCAATACAAATGAGATTTTCCATAGGCTGCTAGACTGTCCTGTGCAAAAGAGCAATATCGTTAGCATTCCCTCCCACCCCACCCCCGTAACTAGATAGTTTTGGTTTGGATGCCTTGGGTATAACTGTTGTTAGGAACCAAGAATTTTATTTAAGAGAAAAAAATAAGTTAAAGTCTATATGGTTAAATGTGAATTGGAAATGACTGTATAAACTCATAATATTTTTGTTTGTGTTAACATACATACATCCTAGCTCTGTCCACTGACGGGGCCTAGAAACAATGGCAAACTAGTAACAATGCACAATTCCAGTGCCCAGATTTTGGTGTCTAAATACCAGTTCCCACTAAAAGGAACCACAGAACTCCTTGGAGAAATGGCTAATACCAAGCCTGGGGCAGGAAATGTGTAAAATAAGCCCCAGATATAATGCTGCAGCAGAGAGCAAGAAGGTAGCAAAGACTAATAGAGATAGGTCAAAATGACACAGGAGCCAGCTTACAGGCATCCCCACTGACCAAAGATGGCATACCTTGAGCATTAGGAAAAACAATGACTATAATTTATTGAAATACATGTAATACATATTTTTGGTGCCATGACTCTGATATGAATGTGTAATATATTAAAATCATGTCTTCACAATGATACCTTTCTAAAAAGCAGGAAAATCATGTCATCACTAGCTAGTGAACCAACTCCCTATTCTGAAAACATGTAAATAAAAGGCAAGAATGGGCCGGGTGCGGTGGCTCACGCCTGTAATCCTAGCACTCTGGGAGGCCAAAGCAGGCGGATTGCTCGAGGTCAGGAGCTCGAAACCACCCTGAGCAAGAGCGAGACCCTGTCTCTACTATAAATAGAAAGAAATTAATTGGCTAACTAATATATATAGAAAAAATTAGCCGGGCATGGTGGCACATGCCTGTAGTCCCAGCTACTCGGGAGGCTGAGGCAGCAGGATTGCTTGAGCCCAGGAGCTTCTGCCTCAGCCATCCCAGGTAGCTTGGGACTACAGGCATGAGCCCACATGCCTGGCAAATTTTTTCTATATATTTTAGTTGGACATTAATTTTTTTCTACTTTTATAGAAGCGGGGTCTTCACTCTTGCTCAGGCTGGTTTCAAACTCCTGATCTTGAGCGATCCCCCACCTCGCCCTCCAGAGTGCTAGGATTACAGGCGTGAGCCCCGGTGCCCGGCCAGTAACAGCTTTATTGAGAATATAATTCACATACCATACAATTCACGACTGAAAATGTACACTATAATGGCTTTTTAGTATATCACAGAGTTGTGTAACCTCTTACATCTGTTTTATCCAGAATAGTTATGTGTCTCACTAACCCCTTATTGTTTCATATTAACAACTTGTTGTTGAAGGACTGGACTATACAGTGTCCCACTTCCTGGATTTGTTTTAATTGCTTCCTTATGGTGTTTTTTTTTTTTTGGCCCATTTTTCTATAATTGAAATTAGATCTAAAGCCTTGTATTAGATTCAGGTTGAGACATATTTGGCAAGAGTACTACTTAGGTGACACTGTAATCTTGTATTGTATCTCATATTGCATCATATCAGGAGGTACAGGTTGTCCTATTCACAGTGATGCTAAGATAGATGTGTGGGTTCAAGTAGTGACAGCCTAACTCTCATTGTGAAGTTTAGTTTTCCTTTTCTAATCAGCAACAATCTACAGGTTGTACTTTGTCACCTGCAAATAGCTAGTTTCTCATCAGTCTTTTTCCAATGCTTTTAACATCCACTGCTGATTGTTACTTTAATCATTTTCATTAGGGGGTATAAAATGATTCTAAAGTTCTTTCATTCCTTCTACATTTATTACCTGGAGTTCTGTGAAGAAAAGCTTTTCCTTATCAAGTAGGGCAATTTGGTTTGTAAAGGAAAGGACCAGTGTTTCATTCTTGCTTTTTTATTATTTATATATTATTATTTTTAGAAACAGGGTCTTGCTCTGTTTGCATGCTAGAGTACAGTGGTGCAATTGTAGCTCACTGCAGCCTCAAACTTCTGGTCCCAAGTAATCCTCTCACCTCGCTCCCAGGTACAGGCATGCACCACCATGTCTGGAATTTTTCTTATTTTTTTTTTATAGAGATAGGGTCTCACTATGTTGTCCAGGCTGATCTTGGACTCAAGTGACTCCCATCTTGGCCTTCCAATTGCTGGATTACAGGAATGAGCCATTGTGCCTAGCCCATTTGAATTATACCTCCAGAGTATAAGTACTCTGCACTACTTTTAGATATGATCTCTAGGAAATAGAAAGCTCTAGGGGAGAAAGAAACAACCTTAAAACCTCAGAAACCATGTGCATTGTAAAGCAGGTTGAGTATCTCTTATCTAAAATGGTTGGACGGGAAGTTGTTTCTGATTTAGTATATTTGCATTATATTGCTGATTTAGCATTCTAATCCAAAATTCAACATCCGAAATGCTCCTATGAGCATTTCCTTTGAGCGCACGTCAGCAGTCCAGAAAGTTTTCGGATTTTGGTGTAGTTCGGATTTTTGGATTAAAATATTCACCTGTATTTAACTTAATCCATAGAATAATTTCAGTTATCACCCTTCCTGGGAGCTCCTAGTGCTTCGGCTAAGGAGGCATAAACATTGCTGCGTAGTTGGCACGCTATGGTTCCCTGAAAATAAGAGTGTCTGTGCAGGAACACGGTAGGATGTCCAGCTTGGGTAGGTATGCCATTGGGAGGAAGATAGGCCCTGAAGGAAGCCCAGGTTCCACAGAATGTGCCAGTTAAATGCTGATGATGCCCTCTGTGACCTTACCTCTTGGGGCCCAGTCATGCACAGCTCCAAAGCCAGGATCCTAGCACTTCACGCACAGTAACACTGTTTGAGTTTGAGGTGCATTACTCCTCTGCTAGACACAGGCTCCTTGGTTTATCCTGTCCATTCCCCGAACCCAATGCTGTGCCTGGTCATGATGGCCCTCAGCAGAGGGTGGTTAATGAGAGCACTTCTCCCTTTTCCCCAATTTCATACTTTTTCAAATCATGCATGCTATTTGTTAGAATTATGGTAGATCTCCCACTGAATGCGTTTCTCCATACCTGCATTTTCTTTCCTTTGTTCTTTAGTTTTATGGTGATGATTTTGTCCTGTTTGAAGCAACGTTTGTAATGGTGGCTCGTGATTATGAATAAGGTAATTGCCTGTTATTTCCATAATTCTTTATTTTGAAGAATTCAAAGATACATAAATGGAGAAGATTATAATCGTCTTATTATACCCATCACCCTGGACTTAACAATTTTTGCCATTTTTTGTTTTATTTGTTTTTTTTCTTTAATAAATTTTATAATATTTTTAAAGTAAATCCCAGACATAAATGCATTTTTTACCCTTAAATACTTTAATGGAGCTCTTTCTAAAAATGAGGATATGTCTCTTAAATAAACTATATTCACTATACTTTGGGACGGCAAGGTGGGAGGGTGCTTGAGCCGATTCAAGATCAGCTTGAGCACAATACGTGAGACCTGCCTCTCACAAAAATTAAAAAATTAGCTGGCTAGTGGTGTACACCCTGTAGTCCCAGTTACTCGGAGGCTGAGGTGCGAAGATCTGGTTGAGCTCAGGAGTTGAGGTTGCAGTGAGTTACTGATGACACCACTACACTCTAGCTCTGACGAACATAGCAAGACCTGTCTCAAAAACAAAAACCAAAACAAACAAAATGAATAAGGTCACATATTAACATTTGACTTTTTATGTTCATGTCTGTTTGTTTTTGGTAACAAGCTATTTATTTATTTAATTGTATTTTGACCAGAAGTCTCACTCTGTTGCCCAGGCTAGAGTGATCCGGGCCATCAGCCTACTCACAGCAACTCAAACTCCTTGGGCTCAAGCATCCCTCTGCTCAGCCTCCCAAGTAGCCACTGGCCATTTTACTAATAACTCATGACTTGAGTAATCCTTTCTATTCCAGACGGTGGCATGGGGATAAGCACTCTACCTCTGGTTTGGGTAGGTTAATCCAGTTCTGCTGCTTATTAGCCATGTGACTACTTACTTCTCTGAGCCTCTTGTTTTCTCAAGTGTGGTATGAAAATAGTGACAGTATTATGTTATGTGTTGTGATAAGGAGAAATGAGAAAAAGAAATCCCACTCATGTGAGTATTGGTACAGAGCTAACCACTGTTGCCATGATGTTAATTTATTATCAGTACTATTGAGGGTGGTCCCAAATCTTTATTCTAGGCTTGACCTTCACACCCACCTTTCCTGAGTGCCCGTTATATTTTCCCACCTAGATGTGCTGCTGCTACCTCAAGTTTAGTACGTTCCAAACTGAATGCATCAGATCTTGATCCTTCTCCAGTTCCCCTTTGCCAGCTCCTGTTTTCTCCTCAGCTCCAACCTTTGTGCAGCTTTAATTTTCCTTTTCCCATGCAGCTTTTGCCAAGTCTTGCAAATCATCGCCACAGGCAACTCACCAGAATCCTTTCTTTCCCATCCCTTGCCTGTGTTATATTCAAGTCTCACTGCCTCTTTTTCAGTGCCTTAACTGCCTTTTAAATTAATCTGCCTGCCTCTAGTCTGTCCATTCTCTGTTAATTTTACGTGTTTTACTAGATAATCTTCCAAA